AAAAAAAAATATCCTCGAGCTTTTCGTTTTTTCCGTTTGACCAACAATTTTCCATCATCATCTTATCGGAGGTATAATTCTTCTTTTCATCATCCCACTGCTGACGGCACTCTAACAGTTAGAAGCACCAACTATTTTGATTGATTCAAAAGCTCAATACATTCTTTGCTAATTATTCTTTTTTCAAACTCTCCGTGATGGATTCAACAACACCAACCTTATCGTCCTCCTCCTCATCTCTATCCTCCGATCCTGTGGTGTTTGCTAAAGTGGTTTCACCACCACCACCACAAGCAACCATAACTCCTCCATCCTTCCAATCAGCAGAGCAAGAATTTTCCAACACCTTTGACCTTATTTTGGGTACTTCTCTCATAGCTTCCTTCTCATTATATCGAGTGTTTAATTTTCTCTTTCGAGCTGTGGGTTATCAAATCATATTAGAGCCTACTGAAGTGGAGAAGAGTAAAGCTCCGACGAATCATGTAGAAGGATTTTCAAAATTATATCGGATTGAAGGACTCGGTGGATTCTTCAGAGGCTTTGTTGCACGAATGTTTAAGAAGTGGACTCATTCCTATGTGCTTCGTAATGTATTGGTTTCATTGGATTTGAGAAGAGAATTTCTCGTTGCAAAACGTGGAGATTTAGCCACACAGAGAAGTATTCCGACCTATCAATTAATTTATCATGGAGCCTCATTGGTTACAGACATCTTTTCGTATCCTTTTGATACAGTGTTTGTGAGAATGCAAGCTCCTCGCTCACATCGGCTGTCTCATCCCGAGTTGAGAGATCCAAATGGTTCCATTGAGTGCATGAATCGCATTATTAGAAGAGAAGGTTTTCGTGCCTTATATCGTGGATGGTATTTGAAAATTCTTCAAAGAATTATAAGAGTTACCACATTGGTTGGCTCGTACCGTTCGATGAAGTTCTTCTTTGGATTATTCGGATTAGGAGATGAAGGTGTAACAGAGGGATCTGACCAAACAGAAGAAATATTGGATTCTTTCATGTTTATTGTGGCTGAATTATTCTCGAGATTTACTGTTCAACCATTGAAAATGTTGAGACGTCGATTACAATATGGTGTCTTGTCTGAGGACAAAAAGACTGTTGAAAGACTGAATATTATTTCATGTGCTCAAGAAATTTATGAGAAAGAGGGATGGTTTGGTTTTTATAAGGGAACTTTTGGCAATATTCACTAGGTGCATTGCTCTCGTTGAAGCAAAAAATTAGCATCTAGTTTGTGACAACCTGGGATAAGAATAAAACGTGTTGGCCACTTCTTGTGAGATCGAATATTGATCGAAAATTTCATAATTTACCATTTTTACTGAGGTGATCGAATTGTTACTCTTAATTTACAACATGGAGGTGTGATATTGTGGAACAAGGAGGTTGTAATGTTTCAATTCTTCATGATAGACCACACGAATCTTTTTGAGACCGTGGTGTCGTCGGTGTTGAGAGACACCTCCCCTCACAAATTGTGCGGGCAGAACCTTAATCTTAGATTTTACCACCATCGATGACGGATCATCCCAATTTCCATCCTCCAACATGTTTACATAATACACGTCCAATTGTACATTTAGCAAATTAGCCAATGCATTTAGGCAGCAATAATCAGCCCATTCCTTGTCTTGTCTCAATTCTCCCAGGTAATCCTCAATAGTTTCTTGAAAAGGTTTTAAAAATATTAAATCTCGTACTTTGATTCCTCCATCTTGTGACACTGGCGTGTCTAAATTATTTTCAATCCAATCCACACATTTTTGCCTTATTTGGGTGTGATACTCTTCACTTTGAGCAAGTGCCAAAGAAATACAATTAAATAAACAATTTCCATTTGCTGTGGCGTGAATGAGCCTTAAATGTTTTCGAGCCAATAGCTCCGAGAGAAGTTCTTTTTTGCGATTCTTGTGTGACGATCTTGAATCTTCTTGTTGTTGGTGTGATTTTTTGACAGGTTGAGGTGAGGAAGGAGTTGTTGCTTTGTTATGTGTTGTGGCTCCTTCTTCCACTGCGTGAAGGTGGCTTGCCTTTTTCATGGGTGGCTCTTCTTCCGAAGGAATGCTATTCCGATGATGAAAATTGTGAGTTTTAGGTGATGATGTGTATTCAAAATCCATCTTATTTTCCTCATTATCACTTGGAGAGGTAACTCGAATGAACCTTATTCGGGGATGCCTTACGGAAGCATCTTGATGATGATGAATCATTGAAGCGTGTGAAGAGGGTGAAGAGGAGGAGGAGGATGGTCTTGATTCTATTTCCTTTTCTTGTCTATCATCAATAGGGCGATGAGATTTGAAAAAGGAATTTTGTGTTCTTGAACGATGGATGGTGATTGGAACGGAGGTGGATGTATTCTTGAGGTCATGATGATTTCGTTGTTGAGAATGATGATTCAAACTTGTGGTTCCAACAACAGGATGAAAATCCAATGATGAGGAGGATGATTCTTCATTCCGTTGATCCATTCTTTTACTATCATTTGGGCCGATCAATCTACATGTTTGCTGCTGAAGATGATGATTTGTATTAGGGTCTAAATCATTCAACATCCGCAGTCGATCATGAAAAATTCTAAACTGTGGTTTTTCTCTGATCCGATGGTCATTCCGATGTAAGCTTAATGGAGGTGTGGAGGGAGAGTGATCTCTCTCTTGATGATTCATCCACCACTGATGCAGAAGTATATGCGTCATTTCTGAAGTCAATTCAATTTTTTTTAACCTTTTTAAAGTTCGAATCAAATAATTCTATTTTTGAAATTTCCTTATTCAAAGAGCGGCTCGGAATTTTGATTCCGAAGACAAAAATACAGAAGCAGAAACCATCTCATTTTGTGGGTATCACTCTGTAATCTTGTGAAATCCAACTTCACAACAAACGACCTGTAAATGATTCATTGCGCTCTCAAAGGTTACAAAATCCTGTTCCAGATTGCACTTTTACGGCAAAGAAAAAAAATGGGCGAAAAATCCATTTCATCGTCAATTTCAAGAACAACGTCGTCATCGTTCAACTCTCTTTCATGCTTTCCACACTATTCCTCATCCTTCTTCTTCTTCATTCCTTTTTTACCCCATTCTTCATCCTTTCCGAAAATCTTTCTTTCTCTTCTTCAACATTTCCTTTACAGGCAACCACCACAACGAAAAGCCTTTCATCATCAGAAAATTCTCTCATCAACCCACTCAATTTTACCATCTTGTATGTTCAACCAAATTCTTCATCATCCTCTCTTCCGAATTGCACCCAAAAATCAGATCCGTGTTCTTCCATCTCTCAGGCCCTTCAGAAATTATCGGAATTGTTTCAATTGAAAATTATTGAACAAAAATCGGCCATCATTTATTTATTGGAAGGAAAATATGTTGGAAATTCGGCAGCTTGTCGAATGAAACAGAATGCAGTCTCAGAGTCGTATGATGATATTATTGTGGCATCGTATCCGTATGATAATACAAATAATAGTGAAAATCGAATGATCATTGATTGTAATAATGGAGAATTGATTTCGTATTTGAAAGCGAGGAGCATTTCGTTTCAAAACCTGACCGTTTTGAGAACAAAAATTTATAGCGACGAACAATTTGTCGTCTTGAATGTGTTTGAAATCAAGTTTGAAATGTGTCAAATCGATAATATGGCTGTTCAGGCGTCTTATTACAAGAAGGAATTTAATGTGACATTTGTGCAATGTAATGTTACACATTCTGAGTTATATAATATACTCAAAACCACATTTGAAGAAAGTATAATGAAATTTATTGGCTTGACAAGTAACAAGAAGGCCATAGTTTCGATTCAAAATTGTGCCATTCAAAATTTTAACTACAAGTCAGTTCAACAATATGTGAATACAATTTTGGATATTCAATATAGCCAAACATTTTCGATTGTGAATAGCCAGTTTGTGAATTCCAGTTTTGTCATTACAAGATTTCAATCCATTGAGTTTAAAGGAGTGAATTTCGATGGATATACCTCAATTTACCAAGCATATTCCAGAACGGCCACACTAACAAACATAATTTCTACAAATGGAAATTTTTTTTTAGAAAGTGATGGAATTGACAGCGTGGTTTTTAGTAGGTGTGTATTTTCACAGCCTCAGCAAGAAGTAGACACAAATGCCATTCAAAACCCTAAGCCAACCATTAGGATTTCTTCCACATACTTTTACAAGTTTCTGCTACGTTCAAAAACCTTCATACGATCCCTCTTTCCACCTCACTCGTCAGTAACTTGGTAATCACAGGTTCACTCTTTGAAAACAACAAAGGAGCAGTAATTGCAAATTTTGAAGGCGTGCTCGATTCAGAAATCAGACTAGTAACTTCTTCATTTTCCTACAACAGTTTAGAACAAGGTTTTGGTGGAGCCGTCAGTATTTCTGGTGTTCAACGTACTGTCTTTGAACAATGTTACTTTATGGGAAACAAGGCATTGAATGGAGGAGCCATGTATCTCGATACTCGTTTTGTTTCTGTACAGTCTGCTGATTTTATCAACAATTATGCAACGCAGAATGGTGGAGCTCTCTATATCAAAAATCATGATTCTTCATTCTTCTCCAATTTGGGATTCACTTTTTTGAATAATACAGCATATCGTGGAGGAGCCATCTATTTTGAAACTTCAGCCCCTTTGGACAGTCAACAATCACTTCTTCGAAAATTTCACTCCTGTTACAACAACACTGCTTTGTATTCTGGCGGATGTATCTACTCAACCAAGATTGATATGAGTGACAATTATAACATTTATTTGTCAAACAATATTGGAAATAAGGCCCTATCCTATGGGCCATTCATTGGTGGCCCCTTCTCGGATATCCATTTTCAAGTTGTGATTCAATTTGATAGCAACAGCGAGGTGGAGAATGTGACTCAAATAATGTATCCACAACAGCCACTCGAATGGAGTATCTATCCAGGTCAGGTAATTCCAAAAATTAGATTTCAAAAAGTTTCCTACAATGGAACTGAAATAATTAATTATTTACAAGATCAAGTCATACTAAAAGCAAGAAATGATGATTCCATTATTCATTCTGATGTTTCTAAAAGTAGAAACGAAATAATTGGGTTGTCACTTTCCATTTTCTCGAATAGTTCAACAAAAATTGAGGCAATTTTGATTTTTGAGAATTATTACAAATTGAACGTCACTATTCATATTTTGGATTGTCCTGATGGATATAAATTGAAGCAACCATTTTCGTATGGATATATCTGCATCAAGAACGATGTCCCAATTTCCAATGATCTCATTTTAAAAATTGTCATTCCTATTGCGGTAGTTTCAGGAGTTTTTTTAACATTAATATTTGGATTAATTCTACTAGTTACGATCAAAGTAGTGAGAAATATTTATTTGAAACTTCAAATGTTGAAACGAAAGGTTAAGGCGGAGCAGACTTTGGAGTCTAAAATTATTGACAAGAAGGTGATTTTCTCGGATATGAAAACTCCGTTGTTAATTAATGACAGTATCGGAAGTAGCAGTGATTACACCCCTTCAATTGGTAAAACCCAAAAGAAGAGTTATCAATCTTTAATTATTCCGATTGAGGACATTGAAATTGTGAAAAAAATCGGAGAAGGTAACTATGAAATTGTTAATACTATTATATTTTAACACCCGCAACTGCTATGAAAAATATTATGGAATTTCTTCAAATATATAGGAAGTAACGGAACGGTCTATCAAGGAAAGTGGAATAGCAAAGATGTCGCCCTAAAAACACTTAAATTCGATGACATTGATATGGGAGAAGAGTTTGAAAAGAAGCCGCCATGTTGAGCGTTGTCAATCATTCTTCGATTGTCAAAATGTATGGAATTTCTCTTTCTGGATCTCACAAATACATTGTAGTGGAATATTTACCCAAAGGAAGTTTAGACAAGTTGATTTATGGATGTAAAATGAGGGTTGAATTTTTGACTCTTCGTCAAAAAATTAACATTTTGCTTGGAGTTGCAAATGGAATGGCTTACTTGCATTCCTTGAAACCACCCATTGTTCATCGAGATTTAAAACCAGGAAATATTTTAATTGATGAAGATTATAACGCAAGAGTATGTGATTTTGGACTTTCGAAAATTATGGGAAATAGTGCTGCTGCTACCAAACATATTGGAACTGTGTTTTATATGGCGAGAGTAAGTGTGTGAACAAGATAGATGTAAAACATTAATGGTGATGAACTTTTTTGCTATTCAATGTGTGATGAATTTGTGAACCTTGATTAATTCAACAATTCATTCACAATTTTACTTTAACAGGAAATGGTGGATGACAATCCAAAATACACTCCCAAAATCGATGTCTACAGTTTTGCAATTATCATGTGGGAATTGTTTTTTGAAGAAAATCCCTATGTTAATGACAAGTCTGCAAAAATTCACAGATTCAATTCAGCATCCTCTGTCGAGAATGAATACAATGTGTTGCTGCACGTATTGAATGGATCAAGACCGAAAATTCCCTTCTCTTCTCCACTGGAAGAAGAAATTTGGTTGAAAGAATATGTTCAACCTTATCAAAATGGTTGTTCTTTACCTAAATTGGTGCAAATCACAAATGAATATATCGAGTTAATGAAAAGATGTTGGCAGTCAGAACCAGAATTGAGACCAGAGTTTTCAGAAATTGTACAGGTTTTGACAAGTGTGGAGAAGCTGTTGTTGTGAAAGCTATGATTTGTCTTTCAAGTAATTTTCTAGAATATTATTGTTTATTTTGGAATGCAAGACTCAGCAAATATACTTTACAAGATTGACCAAATATTTGAATTCAATTTTCCATCTTATTTTGTCTGTGAGGCAGCATTCTTGATTCGTGTATTGATATTATCAATTTTCATTTGCTTTTTGAATGCAAGACTTTCCTTAAATCTTCGATGAGTGTCCAACATTAATTGAGCAATTTCACGTTCGATACTATCAAATAGATCATCCTCCAACAAGGGAAAGGCGCTGTTTGCACATTCCTCAATTTTATGCTTAATAACGTCAGTCTTTTTCTTTGACAGGTTGACAGTCATGCTTCCGTTCATGTCCAAAAATTCATTGTATATTTCCTTTGCCAATTCGAACTTTTTCTTTTCGTAGGACATTAAATCTGCTTCGGTGTAGGGTTTTTTGGATGTAGAATCTTTTTTGGGCTTTTTTGTGGAAGCACTACTCATGGCGGAATATTCAGAATTGGCCTCACTAATGTCAGTGTCATCGGAGAGTGTGGATTTTGTATCATCATAGAGGAACATTTTGATTTCTATACTTTTTGCAGCCAATTCCTTGTATTGACCAATCTTTTCCAATACTAAAAAGTTTTCAACAGAAAATTCTTTTTCACAATGTGCCTTAAATACTGTGAAATAAAAATAATATTAAAAAAAATTGAAACATTTGGAAAGTGTGATCACACCAATCATTCACGAGAATGATCATAGGATCATATATGAAATACATTCAATATTTTGCCATGATTCGAACCACATGAAATGCATTTCACATTTTGTAAATTTCGACACATTTGACATTCACTAAATTGTACTTACACTTTCTCAATTGAGGATCCCTCATGGTATCAATAGCCATCAACGCATTCGCCTTTCTCAATCTCTCAAGTTGAATGGCATCTCGATTCAAAGCACACACCAACGTTGCAATCACCACTGGAATCACAATACTCACAGCTGCCAAAATCACCACCAAACTCACCACGGTCTGAACTTTTAACACAAATGCAATCGAATTTTGTTTGTCACTCACATAAAACGCAACTGGGTCCAACACTTGTTGTAAAAATTGAGCTTGTTTGGTCTGATAGGTCGGATCTGAAAATAGAACTTTGAGGGCTTGCGTTCCGTTGTGTTTGAGTGCAAGATTGACCGCTTGAGCTTCGAACTGAATGGAGGAATCGATCGAATCGAGTCGAGTTAAATTAAGCGCTTGAATTTCGTGATCACTCAAGTCCGAAAGTAATTTCGAAATGGTTTGATTGTAGAGGAGAGTGGTGTTGTAAAAGGTGTAGGCCTCTTGAGAGACGTACAAGTCGTAATTGGCCGCCTGTGTTGTCGAAAGTTGAGAAGTATTCGTGGCTTGGATTCCGAGTTGTTCTGCGGTTGATCTACCCCTACATCTCTTTCGGCAAGGCCCGGTTCCGGTTCCGGTTCCGGATCCCGATGTGGTTCCCGATGTCGGAGGTGTCACGACCGAAACATTCAACGAGGCCAAGCATGCCGAATAGAGAGCAGCTGTTTTCGAACTATAGGACAATCGTTCTCGATACAATCTTGCCATCACAGTATATTCAATGGTGGAAGTATCCAAATCTTGAAATGCAGCGTAACTCCAAATAATAAGTGCCAACAAGATGATAAATGCCACCACATTCACCACGAGAGAGAGTAAGGAAAGAAGGCGCATCCATGACAATTCCACCACACCAAAGCAAGTCCGAATTCGGAGCGGAGAGGAGAAAACGGAGATGTTTTTCGCCGATGGAATGGAATGATCATGTTGTCGAGGAGGAGAAGTGGAAGATGGTTGTTGTTGTGGTTGTGGTGATGATGGTTGTGAGGGTAGTGATTGTTGTGGTGAATGGATGGCAGAGGTGTGATTTGCTTCTTGTAATTCGATGGATGAGGATTGATGAATTTCAGAGGGAGGTGACATGGAATGTTGTGATCGATTGGAAGAAGCAAAATGTTGTTGTTGTTATTTTGATCTTGTGAAAGAGATGTGGAATCTTCTTTTTGTAAGCTTGCTTGTTGACAGCGCAAACACAATCGTGATTAGTGACAGGTCTTGTCAGAGTGTCAAGTGGAAGGATCTTTGAGAATGGCTATTTCACACAGCGCTATTGTTTGAGACCAAAACACGGATAAAAGCAACGAAACGTTTTGCTGATTCTTATCTTGCACCAATCTGATCTGACCTCCAATTCGTGAAATGCTTGTCGGGAGAATGAATTGATCACTCACTCAATGAAAAGTTGGGTTGTAACAACCGTCGTCTAGGGGGTCTGGTCGTTGATTTCTTTTTTTTGATGTTGGAGAAGGTATGAGATGGTCAAATTCTCACAATGAGATCATGAAGAAGAAGAAGTAAAACACTTTCGCAATTTGTGTATTCGCATTCATAATCGTGAACATTCTACAAGAACTGTCAGATCAATTGAGAGTGAGGACCAGCATTATGGCAATGATTTCCAAGATCAAATTCTCATATCTCTTCTTCTTCTCGTTAGTAAATTTGCATTCTGACAGGTGTCAGTTATATAACGTTCATATGGGAAGAAACTTCTAAAGAGAGACAAGTCCATTCTAAATAAATACGTGAATAATAATAAATCAAAATAAAGAGAGGAAATTTCAATAGAACTGAGGGTCTAATGCCACCGACAAGTCATCGGTTCAATTTGTTCGATGAAAGGCCTTTCATCATCATTAAGAATTTATTCGAAATTGAGGAATTGCTTACAAAAAATGTTGAAACTCGTTTCTTCTTCTTCTTCATTTAGTGGTATCAGCTTTTCGAGAAGAGGAGGAATTCTTTTTCATGGCACAACAACAAGCACCACTAACACTCCATCCATGTTGAAAGTGGTGGTGATGAGAACGATTGCTGATCCACCGATGATGGACCGTCGTCGGTTGTTGGATTTTGGAATTAATCATCAATTTTCATTCTTCTCTCGGATGAATGATCTTTATCATCATGATAGGAAGAAGATGATTTATCAATCAAAATCCAATAGGATGATGAGTTCGTTGAATTTGATGAAGGGAGTAAGCCTTGATCAACCCGAGTCAAGCCACCACCATCATCATCATCATCTTTTATTAAATTCTAGTTATGAACATCCTCTCGGAGGAATCATTGGTAGTCTCTATCAAGCCTCTTCAAATGTATTATGGAACATGAAAAAACAGTTATTCAAATCTAAATTCTTCAAGAATTCAAGAACGATTCTAATACCACATAAACTTGAGATGAGTTGGGAAGAATTGAAAAGAAAGATTTCAAATGTATTTGGAGGTCATCGATATTCCTATTACGAATACAGTAGCTATGGAAGTGGAGGAGAAGGAAGTGGATTCCGATTTACGAATATTCAAAAAATCATTGCTTTGAATGTGGCTGTGTTTGTCTTGGCTAATTTATTCCTCACACGACAAGACATTCTTGCTAATTTGGGAGTTTCATTGGACAATATCAAACATGGCAAAATTTACACCATGTTCACAAGCATGTTTACACATATTGATTTAATTCATATATTCATGAACATGTATGCATTGAGTCAATTAGGAAAAATGATGCCCATGACTAGAAGATTATTGTGGCCAGCTTATATTTTCTGTGGTCTAGTGGCGTCTTCTGTTTATTTACTTGATAAATGGATTGGAAGTACTGCACTTCATCGACCCCATGAATACTATACCACTGGTATTGGAGCCAGCGGAGCCATATTTGGTTTGTTAGCGTTTGTGACACAAGTACATCCCTTCATTCCAGTAGGCATCTTCTTTTTACCCATCCAATTTAAATTAAGGAATTTCTTTTATGGTGTCATTGCCATTGAGTGCTATCGTTGGTACACGAACAGAGATTCATCCGTGAGTGCGAGTGGCCACTTGGGAGGAGCTTTGGGAGGATACTTGTTCTACCTGATGAATCGTAAGAGACTTCTTTTTTAAAAGGGTTAAATGTTTGTAGAATCAATTTATGAATTGGTTATTAATACTGTACACGGTAGATTCTTGTTGTAGTTTTCTTGAGCACTTGGTGAAGCCAATCTCAATTTCCAGAATTGAACTGTACATTCTTCAAGTCACCGATTGAAACACGGAATTCCATTCATGCTTTCCTCCTCACTTCTCCATTCACACACATTCTGTGCAATTCTACACAATACATGCTACAACAACAACAACAACTAGTAGTAGTAGTAGTCGTCAAGTAGTCATTCTCAAGAGTCATCGTATTGAATGTCCTCCTCCAGAAAAAACACAGAGTCCTCTGAATGATGTTTTTTCTCCATGACACGGAGTTGTTGTGGCAACAGTCCATCCTTTTGAAGCAAAAAAAAAATGAATTTGTTGTGGCGACTTCAACTTATTGCCTCTCTGTGCGATCATGATGAAAGTGTTTGGTCGGTTTCTTTTCATCCACAATATAAACATGTGTTGGCCACGTGTTCATCGGATAAGACGGTGAGGATTTATTATGTACGGAGTGAGGCAGAAACAGGAACAATAACAACGAATGTATTGTCTTCGTCGTCGTCATACCCGGGTATGAATCACCAAAGCCTTTTAAATACATCATCAAACTCGGGAGGAAATTACAAGACCATGATCAAATGTTTGGATGTTTTGGAAAATCAACATAATCGAACCATCCGTCGGGTGGATTGGTCTCATCCCAATGGAAATGCTTTGGCTTGTGCAAGTTTTGATGGAACGAGTTCTATTTGGATTTTGTTGAAAAACAAAATCGTATCACATTTGAATGCACTCGATGAGGAATTTGTCAAACAATCTCCTCACAATGATGATAAGAAGAATGGTTCATTCAGTCCTTTAAAACTATTAAAATGTGTCTCAACTTTGGAAGGACATGAAAATGAAGTGAAATCGGTGGCATGGAATTTCAAAGACGTTTCTTCCTCTAATTGGAGTGCTGAAATGAATGACGATGATGAAGAGAGTGAATTTGGAGCTGACTGTGGACTGTTGGCAACCTGTGGTCGTGATAAAACTGTTTGGGTTTGGGAAGCAATTGATAAGATTGGATTTTCAGATTTTGACTGCAATTCCGTGTGTAGTGGACATACACAGGATGTAAAATTTGTAGCTTGGCATCCATTAACTCGAGAAAACATGCCATCTCTATTGTTTAGCGCATCCTACGATAATACAATTCGTGTTTGGAAAGAAGGAGGATTTAATGATGACCATTCAAGTCACCATGATTTTTCACACTCTGGTGGAGCTGGAGGAGATGAATGGAAATGTGTTGGAATTTTGAGAGGTCACACCAGTACAGTTTGGGCTCTTGCTTTTGAACCACCATTTGTACCCAGTTCTACAATGAACAATCAAACGACTGTTCGATATTCTACTGCCAGTAGTAGTAGTGGTACTACAAATACTATGACCTCAACTACTCCTCTGGATTACCCACAATTTATGGTCAGTGTAGGTGATGATAAATCAATCATTGTGTGGAGAGAGGATGTGGTCGGAAATTATCTTGACATGAATATGACAGCCATTCAGACCATTTCTGATGTTCACACTCGAACGATATATCATGTCGATTGGTGCGTGTATGAGAATCCATACAGGCCTGGAGAAGCTCATTTCATTGGTGGCCACTTCTGGTGGAGACAATACCATTGCCATCTTTGAGTGGAATAGAACTGAGCAAAAATTGAATTTATTGACCAAGATTGTGAATGCTCATGATGCAGATATTAATTGTAGCATGTGGAATAGGAATGTTTTTGGAGAGTTGGCCTCCTGTTCGGATGATGGAGTTGTGAAAATATGGAAATTAGATTTGTGATTGAATCATTGAATGTCACCAGCAGTTTTGTTGTTCTCTTTTTATTTATTGGAACCTTCAAGTTAAAATTGTCATTGCATCCGCACAATGATTTTTTATGAACATTATTTACATTTCGAAGAGAGATCATCTTTGGACATTTTCATCTTCTTCTGGTAACCAACACTCGCAAATTCGATGAAGGTCTTGCAGTAACGCCAGGAACATCTACAATCTTATCTTCCTTCTTGCTTTCGTCATTCAACAATGTAAATTCATAAAATTGTAAAAGTCGACACAAGATCATGCACGTCTCAATTTGACTGAATGAATAGCCAATGCACTTTCTGTTTCCTCCAGAGAATGGGAACCAACTGACACTAGAAATAACCTTTTGTTTAAAGTCCTTATCGAGGAATCGTTCTGGTGCAAAGTCTGTACCCTTGTAGGTGTCATTATTAAAATCGGCAGATAAGGTTTGACAAGCTTTGGCATCAAGGTAAATGGTAGAACCTTTTGGAATTTTGTACTTGCCAATGGTGGTGGTCTTACAACATTCCTTAACAATGGAAACCACAGGAGGATGCTGCAAGACAAGGTTTTGCATGAATAATCATGTTAACAGTGTGTAAGTGACGAATGGCATTGCGGTCAAAACAAAGTGCAAAATTCACATCATGTACACTCGTCGAACCAAACTTGGAGAACTTACCAATCGAAGAGATTCCATCATGGTTGCATGAATATAATCCATGCTGGCATAGTCATCGAAATTAGGCGCCCTCAATTCAGGTCCACCAATTCTTAAAGCTTCTTCTCTTGCTTTTTGTTGAGTTTTTTGATTCTTTGATAATTCATACATGAGCCATTGTAGTGTTGTACTAAATTTTTCAATCATAATTTAAATATAAAATTAATGTTAAATATCATGCAAATGAATTATTATTTTGGTCCACAACGTGGTGTTTTCCACGTGATCACTTACCTCGTTGTTTCATGTCCAGCAATGACGAAAATATATGCATTACTCTTCAACTCATCCAATGTCAATTTGTGATTTGATTCTTCTTCCATGTTTGCTTTCACTAATTGTGACAAGAGATCATTCAATGGTTTTTCTGGATCTTTCTTGAATTCTTCTTGTCTCTGAGAAATGTATCGATTCAAGTGCTCACTCATCAGTTCAAGCGCTTGATCCGTTTTAGTGTAACGAGCTAACATCTTTCGAACAAGTCCTTCTCCAAAGAAAAATCGTTGATAATAATCATGTTTGATCACATTCGTCAATGCCTCTCTGAATTTCTTTCCATCATTGGATGTTTCCGAGAAAATTCCAAAATCAATTCCAAAACCAGCTTCACCAATCACTGCCAAAGTCACATCGGAATAATCCTCCAAATCCAACACAAAACCATCTTTCTTAATTTCTCCCAAACTCGTTTGATGATGAATCATGCTCTCTTGCGAAGACTTTAATAACTTTTCCCATTTGGTGTGAAACAATGCATCTGTGGCTCGAATTGCCGCTTGACACATCAATCTCAAATTATTTGTCGTAAAGGAAGGAGAGACTACCACATGATGATTCTTCCAAACAGGTCCATCCGGAGCTGTCAAAATAGACGTTGCCTTCTTTGAAAAGATGTTAAAAGGTTCATAAAATGTTTCCACTGGTTTCACAAAGGAAGAAGATTTGGTGAGAAGAACTTCTTTGCAAGAATCTTTATCGGCAAAGAGAATATTGTTACGATGAGGAGTGGAAACTCGAATACATAATTGATTCGAATGATGATGATTGGAAGAATTGGATGAATTGGAATCCTTGTTGTGTTGTTGTTGTTTCAGTTGTTCTTGTTTCAAGAGTTGAATGATCACATCCGAGTTGCCATGTGCAATGTAAGGAGAAAGGATAGGAATTCGAATGAAACCCTCACTGAGGAGTTGCCAATAGCCAGGAATGTCTTGAACTTTGGCAATATTTCTTCTCAGATTGACAAGTGTTTTCAGAACGTAAAACAAGAGAAGAGAAAAGGCAGCACGTCGTGAGGAGAGTCAACCAAAGATCGGACGATTGGAGGAGGATCATCATGTCAAAGGTCGATATACACTCTTGTTGTTGTTGTTGTTTTTTGTTGTTCCAGGATCAACTCAGTTCGGAATGATTCTTTTTGATCTTTTTCTTATGTCGCATTAATCGCCCTAGTGAATTTATTTGGAAAGTCCTTATTGCGATCAAGTACGGGAGTTGATTTTTGGAAATCCTTTTGAGGACTGAACTCTGAAATTCAATCACACAATGGATGGACGTAGGAGGTCCATCAAGATGATTCATAAATGAATGAGCATGAATGACATTTATGACTTGGCGTTTGATTGGTCTAAGAAGAAGACAAAACTGAGAAAGTTCTTTAAGGGTTTGTTGAAGATGGCGATTCCAGAGAGGATGATGGTGACATGAGGGAGTTTGTTTGGGTGAGCTCAACTTCAGCCATGTCGTGTTCTTCTTCGTGTGTTTCATTTGTGATTGATGAAGAAGGTATCTCCTCTTCCTTTTTGTGAGGTTTTGTGAGATCATGGTTAAGTTCTTCTTGAGTGTTCATGTTGAGCCCTGTTGGTTGTGGTGTGGGCTGTCGTTCTTCCTGATGAGAGGAATGAGTTTCAACACTGTCTTTGGAATGCTCATCAATACTCTTCGTGTGATTTTCAGAACGTAATTCTGACATGGATTCTTCCTCTTGAATCATTGTTCGTACATGGGCAGAAGCTAGCTCAAGATTTTGTTTTTCGAGCTCATGAACGGAAAGGGTCAATTCTTGAAGGGAGAGAGTTAAATTACTATTCTCAGTGATGAGTCCTTGTGTTTTCAATTGACATTCTTGAAGGTGATCTTTAAGGGCGGATAGTTCCTTAATATGGTGTGAATTTTCTTCGCTACTCTGCGATTGCATATTGTTCATTTCAGTCATCACTTCGTTTAATCTAGATTCCAATTCTTCCACATTGTTTTTACATTTCTTTTGTTCTTCGACATGTTCAAGTTTGGTTTCAATGACAATGGAGGAGAGTGTTGCAGATTTGTCTGAGCACTCCTTGAAGAGTTTTTCTAACTCTGTGACATTCGATGAACATTCTCCAACTCTCAAAATTAATGCTTGTTTTTCATTGCTTAAGAGTTCAATTTGTTTTTCAAGTGAAGTCACTTTAAGGATTAACTTTTCTACTTGTTTGTCCTGAATGAGTTTTGTCTTGTCCTCACGACACAAGCTCAAAGCAGAAAAACATTCACGTTGTTCCAGTTCCATATGATTTAACTTTTTGCGTAATTCGTTGGTTGTTTTCTGGCATTGTTGTTTCTTTTCCAACTTATCGAGGAATATTTTGAGTTGACCTTTGATTTTTTCATTCTCTTCGTTGATGGTCTCATTGAATTGACCCATGTAGGAAGAGATTTGAGCAATGTGTTGGGCAGTTTGTTGTAGCTGTGCTGATTGTCTAAGAATTTCTTCCTTTTCGTTAAGCATTACACGTAATGTTGTTTGTTTCAAAGTTTCAATTCGCTCGAATTGTTCTGATTTCTCGTGTTTGAGATGAGTAATTTCCTTTTGAAGAGTTTCTATGAATTCTGCTTGTTTTTTCATTTCTTCTTGATGGGTATTGTGTAATGAGGATATTCGTTGTTCGGCAAGTTTTAAATCGTTTTGCAAATTTGTAATTGTTTCTTCTTGCATTGTTTTAACAAGTAAAATTTGCTGTATTTGTTGATCTTTCTTTTCAATAATACTAGTGGTAGTTTGGTTTAAGGTTTGCAAATAATCTTCAAGCAGTGTCAAATTCTTTTCAAGAATAGATTTTGTGATTTTTTGTGATTCAGCAATTTCAGTCAACGCGTGTACTTTCTCCTCTAGCTCTGAGATTTGGTCTTTGTGATTCGAAATTTTATCATCCTTTTCCAACAATTTTTTTTTTTTTTTT